TCTCAAACGGGAGATTTATGGTGAAGGAAAACAGTACACCTCTCTGAACAGTGTCTGGGAGCCTATGGTTGCTGCTGCACAAAAAGTTGATCGTCAACAGATCAAGAAACTGACAGATTCCATGAATGGAAGTCTTATGACTGTTATTGCAAAGAAAGGTGGCTATATTGGTAACTGATTTTTTGTTTGAAATGTCAGAAATGTTTATTTGTAAATTTTGAGTTGTTTGTTCATTATTGCACTGTAGTTGTTCAATAATGAAATTCATCCTCAAAAATACAACTTGCCTAATAATTGCACTGTAGTTGTTCAATAATGAAATTCATCCTCAAAAATACAACTTGCCTAATAATTGCACTGTAGTTGTTCAATAATGAAATTCATCCTCAAAAATACAACTTGCCTAATAATTGCACTGTAGTTGTTCAATAATGAAATTCATCCTCAAAAATACAACTTGCCTAATAATTGTGCACGCAGTGTAAATTTGAAAGATTAATATTTTGGCGAAAGTCCTTCTGATTTTATTTGGAGCTAATTAGACAAATAGACCATACCTTTATGGGAATGTTGACTGTTTGACATCAAAGGGAAAAGACAATTGGTGGATTTTACAAAATAAGGAGATAAGATAGTATATCAATATAAGATAAACTGTCTGACTAAAACTACGGGGAGACAGATTGGACTAAAGCCTTAAGGGTATAGAAGAGGCAAAAGGGGGGGAGGGAAGAGGGAAGCCTGGCTTTCACCTTTGTAATTGATTCATTTTTACTTCTAGATTACAAATAAAAGAATGGTGACCACCAAAGCTTGGTGAGGAGAGGAGAGGATTGTTAGAGCAACCAACAGAAAAGGGGATTGCTCCAGAATATTACAAAAAATGTCTGAAAAGATGGGGAAGAAGGTATCTGAATCTGTTTAATCTGCTAAAAATGATCTGGCTGCATTTGAAGGGAGAATGGAAGAAAGGTTTGTAAAGATGAAAGAGGAAATGAAAGAAGTCAAAAAACAAATTGTAGGACAACTGAAAGCAGAAGTAAATCAAATTAATGATAAAGTGGAAATTTTAGAAAGTAAAACAGAAATAATAAACAGAGAGATGGAAAAGGACTATTTGGCGTTATTGGAATTGAGAGAAAAAGAATTCTGCTTGAGATTCAGAGCAGTGAACACCCTGGAAGACACTAAAGAAAAAATTGTTCAATCTTCAACAAATTTTTTGGAATGGGATGAAGACAGTATGGAAGCAGAGACAAAGTGTATAGGATTAAAATGAGATTTGCAAAATTAAGAAATGTACCAAGGGATATTCTTGTGCATTTTGTCAGGAAGGAGACTAGAGACCAAGTTTTGCAGCAGCATTTTACTACCGGACTGAATATTAACAGTGTAGATGTAACTGCACTTAAAGAAATTCCTATCAGAATATTGCATAACAGAAAAGAGTACTTTTTTTGAATGAAAAGCTGAAACAGAAAAAGACACCATTTCAGTGGGACAAACTGGAAGGAGTGATCCTTACTTTTAAACAACAGAGGTTCAGATTGAATTCAGTGCAAAAACCAAGAGAATTTCTAGGAAAATATTAATGGGGAAATGGAAGAAATACAAATGGAGGTGATAGAAGGGACTAAACAACAGCCATAACAAGATATCGAGGAAGAGGCTACCACACTGGGCGCTACAGATATTGGCTTTTCTAAATTCTTGGCATAAATATGGATTTCAAATGCCTAACATGGAATATAAATGGAGCAAATGTTCCTCAGAAAAGAAGAATATTATTTGAAAAAAATTGAAACAAGATGTAATCTGCTTACAAGAAATACATATCAGAAAAAAGGATAAATAATTTTTGATTTATACAAATTTAGGCAGAGTTTATTTCAGCTAGAATTAAAAAGAGAAATGGAGTTGTTCTGTATATAAACTCACAATTACAACCAGAGTTGATACTGGCTGACAGTTATGATAGACGTGGGGGTGGAAGTTAATCTAAACCAGCCGTTCTTAGCAGTTCTACTCAACCCTTATTGTTCTTGATAAGAAAGTCAAAGTATGAATAAAACTTGCTTTAGACACTACTTTCTTACTCCTTTCCTTCTTAAGGGGCAAGGAATTTAGAGAGGGGGCCTAATGCCAAGTATATGCCAAACAGATTTTCCTGATATCCTATCCCATACCAGAAGGTGCTTCCAGATATTAACCTCTAAATCAACAAAAGTTGATTTAAAAGAAGAACTCATGAGGAAGCGTTCCTTGTTTTAGCCAAATTGCTCATGCTGGTTGACCTACTAATTGCACCAGGCCTGGTGCTTAGTTTCACCTCTTACTTAGATTTCATTTGTACAATATCGCCCAACTGTCCTGAATGTATATTTCTTCCAAAAAGAATTCCTATTAGTTTATTAACACAAAAAAATAAGAAAAATACAATGGTATAAGTTTTTGTAGACCAAGATCCAGTTCTTCAGATACAGGATGTACAATTCTAAAGTGATAGTTATGGGTGGGGAAGGAGATGAAAAACAGTGAAGTCAGAGGGGAATTAGTTTCAAAAAGAACACCAACTGATAATTACATAAAAACATTATTCAATGCTTTCTTCAGGCTTCCTGAAAAAGATGAGCAATTTTCATGAATAGTGCAGAAATTCTTTTCTTGCTCAAGGTCCAAAACACTTCTTCTGAATTATTCTGAAGCATGAACAAAACAACTGCATACAAATTAGCCTGGTATCAGGCAGTATTGATCAATAATATTAGAAATGTTTGATAATCTCTTTTTAATGTTCATTATATTCTTCTTCAAACAGTTCATCATCACTGATAATTTTCTTGAAGGTAATATTTGAAATCCTAAGAAGAGACATGTACAGTGGGGCAAAAAAGTATTTAGTCAGCCACCAATTGTGCAAGTTCTCCCACTTAAAAAGATGAGAGAGGCCTGTAATTTTCATCATAGGTATACCTCAACTATGAGAGACAACATGGGAAAAAAAATAGACCTGCACCAGGCTGGGAAGACTGAATCTGCAATAGGCAAGCAGCTTGGTGTGAAGAAATCAACTGTGGGAGCAATAATTAGAAAATGGAAGACATACAAGACCACTGATAATCTCCCTCGATCTGGGGCTCCATGAGACCTGCACCAGGCTGGGAAGACTGAATCTGCAATAGGCAAGCAGCTTGGTGTGAAGAAATCAACTGTGGGAGCAATAATTAGAAAATGGAAGACATACAAGACCACTGATAATCTCCCTCGATCTGGGGCTCCATGAGACCTGCACCAGGCTGGGAAGACTGAATCTGCAATAGGCAAGCAGCTTGGTGTGAAGAAATCAACTGTGGGAGCAATAATTAGAAAATGGAAGACATACAAGACCACTGATAATCTCCCTCGATCTGGGGCTCCATGAGACCTGCACCAGGCTGGGAAGACTGAATCTGCAATAGGCAAGCAGCTTGGTGTGAAGAAATCAACTGTGGGAGCAATAATTAGAAAATGGAAGACATACAAGACCACTGATAATCTCCCTCGATCTGGGGCTCCATGAGACCTGCACCAGGCTGGGAAGACTGAATCTGCAATAGGCAAGCAGCTTGGTGTGAAGAAATCAACTGTGGGAGCAATAATTAGAAAATGGAAGACATACAAGACCACTGATAATCTCCCTCGATCTGGGGCTCCATGAGACCTGCACCAGGCTGGGAAGACTGAATCTGCAATAGGCAAGCAGCTTGGTGTGAAGAAATCAACTGTGGGAGCAATAATTAGAAAATGGAAGACATACAAGACCACTGATAATCTCCCTCGATCTGGGGCTCCATGATGTGATTTTCTGGATTTTTTCCCCCATGTTGTTTTTTTTTCCCATGTTGTCTCTCATAGTTGAGGTATACCTATGATGAAAATTACAGGCCTCTCTCATCTTTTTAAGTGGGAGAACTTGCACAATTGGTGGCTGACTAAATACTTTTTTGCCCCACTGTATAATACAACTTCTATGATCAATTTATAGAAAATTAAACATGATATTAAAAATCATCAGTTGATTTTTTTATTTTGATCAAATGTTTGATACAATCTTCCATACCAGAATGAATTCCTATTCGAATCCATACAGGAAGACCTGGAAGATGTTGTAATTCAAATGATCCCATGAAGCTGAGTATATCCAGGGCCATCATGGAAATGTCCACTGCATGACGGTTACCGTTTCTGTTTGGTAAACCACTTACTACCATATATGCATCTCCAATGGTCTCCACCTGTTGAAACATGACAAAAAGTCACTATATCTGCTTAGGGAAAAAGAATACTGAACAACTTTCAATTAACAAAATATGTCTGTGATTAGAGCTATGGGTCAATTCAGTATAACACAGCCTTCCCAACTTGGTGTCCCATCCAGATAATTGGATTCAGTGATCCAGTTCATTGCAATTCTGATCATGCTTAACCAGCATGACCATTGGACATACTTACTGGGAGCTGGAATCTAATACTTTTAGAAGACTCCAAATTGAAGAACACTGGAACAGTAAGACTACATGACAGTATATTTTTTTTCTGAAATGTGGAACTTAATGTATTTTTAAATCTCAAGAAAAGTAACTCCTTTTTATTGTTTTGGAAAACCATTTTAACTGAGAATGCCTCAGATAAAAATAATTCTTGCCTTTTTGGTGACATTGCTGCCCCCATTACCTTTGTTTCACCTCAGGGTAGCTTTTTATATTCTCTTTTCAAATCAGATCACCTTGTAAACATCATGATGATCAAGAATGTGGTCAAAGTTCTTGTAGATGTCATTCAGCATGTCTACCACTTCCATAGGTGTGCTGTATTTACATATGGTTGTGAAGCCCACAATGTCACTGAAGTAGATGGTGACTTCTTCAAACAATTCTGGTTCTACACGTCCAGTTTCCTTCAAAGACGTCACCACAGGTCTGTGGGGGAAAAAAGAGGAAAGCTTATTGATTGCGAAATGTGCTTTTAAAAAAAATAATTGTGGTACAATAGCCATAATGGTTGAGAAATGATTTGGTAATGTAGTTCTACAATGGCAGTGATGCAAATACAAAATAATTAGTTAATAATTAGGTAATAGCTAATTAATAATTAAAGTACTAAAGCACTTACAGTACAGGTAATCATGTTCCTTTCAAAACACATTGGAAATAAATATTGAATTAAATAAGATGGTCTTGACACTGCTGTTATGAAATTACTATATCTTTCAGTTGCATTTATTTATTTATTAGATTTATTCTTGCCGCAATCAAGAGAGGCTCTTAGCAACTTATATCCATAAAAATACAATAAAACATCCACAGTATAAGTATAAAATAAACAATAAAACAACTAAAATTACACGTAAAACAGTCCATCAATCAACAATTGAAGATGTCAATTCATACTGCCAAAATCTCTCTGAAATAATGCAATTTTTAACAACGTATGGAAGGTCAAAAGTTTGAGGAGTAATCAAATCTCTAGAAGGAAGCTATTCCAAAGTGCAGGCACCCCAATTGAAAAAGAGCACCTATAAACCCCCCACCCCACTTACCTCATGAAACAGGTTTCCAGGACATTACAGTGGGCAGATTGAAGCTGGTCAGAAAAGATGGTCCTGCCAATACTCTAGTGCCAAGGTATGTAATGACAAACCAGCACTTTGAATTGTACTTGGAAGCTAATAGGATGGCAGTTTAGGGTCTGGAGCACAGGTGTAATGTGCTCATGTTGGTGAATACCCACCAACAGCCTGACTAGGCCAACTGAATCTTTTTGTTAGACTACAAAGGCAGTCCTTTGTAGTGCTTTGAACAGTGCATTGCAGTAGTCCAGTGGAATGGTGATAATGTAAGTTACCATTAAAGGTCCTCACACTCCAGGAAAGACCAGAACTGGTGCAGCTGCCAATCCAACAATAATCAGGAGTCCAGGATGATTCCCAAGTTATCAATCTTCTCCTTCATTTGCAATACCGGCCCATCAAGAGACAATACCAGAGACATTAAGGAACCTCAGTGAACAAGCAGCAGCTCCACTTGCTTAGGTTCAACTTCAATCTGTTTCATCTCATCCAGAGCCTCACAGCTTCCAGACTGAGTCAAGACATTGGCAGCCGCTTCCAGGGAAGTAACATGCAGCCAGGGAAGTGCCACCCTCAGCATTTGTGTGTAAAATGCATGGGAGAAACAACTAAACCTTTCAGTATCCCAACTAGAATTAGCTGCTGAGGAAGGAGCAGAATCTCTGCAAAACAGAGCAGTCCAGGATGATGATGATGACGATGATGATGATGATGATGATGGTGATAATAATAATAGTAGCACCACTTGAACACCATTGGCACTGACAAAATCACCATCAGTTAATTGCAAAAGGCACCTTTACTTGGAACAGCTTATATCCTGAGACAATACCTTTAATGCTATTGAACAACAGCATCTGCCTATCCCAGGGCCTTGAGAAGGACTCAATAGGTGGATAAAAATGCTAAATCCAGTCTAAATATCTGGCTGACTGTGCGACCAGCATAATAATATATTAAATGTATATGCCACCCAGCTTCCAGCGACTCTGGGTGGTTTACAAATTGTTAAAAACATTTAAAAACAAGAAAACAACACAAAACACAAAAGAACAAAGATGGTACAGATAACAAACCCAGATGGGAACAAAGAAAAAGAAGAAAAGGGGTCTTCAATCACACTCCCCAAAGGCCTAGGCAAAGAGCCATGTCTTCAGGGCCCTTTGAAACACCAGTAGGGTGGGGGGGTCTATGAATCTTGGGGGGAAACCTATTCCAGAGGGCAGGTGCTGTACAAAGAAGGCATGCTTCTGAGGTCCCAATAGATGGCATTGTTTAATTGAAGGAACCTGGAGCATACCAACCCTGCCAGATTGGATCAGCCGGGCAGATACTATGGGAGACAGGTGGTCCCTCAGTAACTAGGCCCTGTGCCATGTAGGTCTGTATAGGTAACAATAAGCACCTTGAATTGCACCTGGAAGCAAATTGGCAAACAGTATAACTCATGAAGTGGAGGTGTTACATGGGCATACCGAGGCATGATACTATGGCTGATGGTATCAAAAGCCACTGAGATGTCTAAAGAGATCAGGAAAGGTGCACTACTCCTGTCCAAGTCACAACAAAGGTAATGGACAAGTAACGAATTCCAGCTCCATCCCATGCCCAGATATGAATCCTGACTGACAAAAGTCCAAATAAAGTATGTATGCTTGTGTTATAGTTAAGACACACTTTACTTTGTTTCACTCTAATCTGCATAATCAAAACCAGTGCTGATAATGCTTATTTGCATATTTATATAGCTACTGTCAAGAACATAGTTTTTTTTCTATTGACAAGAATTTTTCATTTCCTTCCAAAATTCCAGCTGATATATAAAATGTTACATTCTACTACAGTAATACAGCTGGCTCTGTAGAGCTATCAGATGCCTACACCCATCAACTGAAATCATTTTTTTAAAAAAAATTAAAATGGGTAAATTCCAAAAGGCGTAATTCCTATTGTGCCTTTTCCAGTTACTGCATATGCTTCAAATGCAAAGCCAAAGTCATATTAGGAAGCTCATGAAAAATATAACTTAAAATCAAACTTGGAGTAGCTTCATGTTTATGTATATTAGTTTTCCCCAGCCTGGTGCTCTCCAGAAGTATTAGCCATACTGGCAGAGATATCATAGGAGGTGAGACAAGGAGAGTTCCAGATTGGAGCTGTTAATAAATACAATTTCTACCAATTTATGTTAGTTGCTTATCAGTATTTGAAGTAATAATATCATATAGTTCATACTGTATATAATATTTTCTAAGTTTATTAAAGACCAAAGCATCTTCCTAAAAAAAATTTAAACTTTGGTACTTAGTTAAAAAAGGAAAACAGAGATGTAACATAAATAGATCTATAAATACAAAAGTAGAATTAATTGCCAAAGTGTAACGATAGCTATGAATTTAGATTTTTAATACTTAAAAAAAAATCAGATATATTAATGTAGGCTAGTGAATTGCTTACATCAACTGTGAATTGCCATGATAGCTGAACATATTTGGGGAAATAAAGGGGGAGAACAATAATCTTTATGCCTGTTTGTGAGCCTCCTACAGATGTCTACATATGTGTTCATTCTTAGATAATGAAGAAAAAGATAACTTTTAAAAACAAATTAAATATTATGAATCATTGCTATGACTCATTTAAAGAAGACTCTTAACTAATTCTTCTATTTCTGTATTTGAATTATTGCCTTAACTGGCTCAGTCCAGGCTTACTGTAATAGCAGGGAAGCTCTTAGGAGAAGATGTACCCACAAATATGTTGGCATGTCACAGAATACTGAACTGTATGGGGATTTCAAGAATATTATGACCTCTAGATGTGATATCACAAACCTGTAGAATTATATCATAAACTATTATTAATTTAATAAACTCTCAGTAAATGGCTAGCATAAAGGTTAGTACCCATTTTTAGTAACATATTTTCACATCACCCCATGCACGGAGCAATTTTGGACTGCTATACTACTGTAATTTTAATTAATGGTTTTAGAGGACATAATGCACGTTTTACAAAACTTTTCTAAAACTCAAAAAAGTACAAACTGAAACTGAGATTAACAGAAGCAGTTTGAATTTACTAAATCTCGGTTGTATAAAATGCAATTTCAAATTAAGATCTGAGAGGTTTTGTTCCTAAAGGGATCTCCATCATACATGCACATTTTGTTTGCATTTATTATTAGCAATAAATAAATAATAATAATTTACAAAGTTAAGTATATTGGTCTAATTTATGTAGATCCTGAAATGGCATAAATATAATATCACATCGGAAAAAACCATCCATCCACAGACAAGACATTGATGGAATGGCTGGGGAAAGCCAACATAAAAATATATGTTTTAAAAGATCCCTAACACGCATGAGTGTTGGGGCTGGTCCTGGATTACAGCTAATACCGCTGTAGCCATAGAACATTGGCTACAAACATTGCACATGATATTCTAAAGAAAGGCATTCTCTCTCCACAGCTGAACATTGCACATGACAAGCAGGATAATCCAAAGCAGCACTTGGTACAATATCTCTGGCTTTTCTAAAATCTAGAAGTTATTTTTCTGCCCAAGAAAAATCAAGGCTATATGTCCTTTTCCAACAAAATTACTTCAAAAGTGTAAACTTTACATCTCCCCATTTGTGGAAGGATAGCGTATCTCTTGCAGAGGAATAAAGGTTGCATGAAAGCAGAATAAATTTTTGCGTGCTATCTTTACATAACAAGATAAATCCCTGATGCTGTTCACAATTTCACAAGTTTTTGAAAAGACACATATAATTAACATAGATTTTAAAAGCTTGTCCTTAGGTATTTCGACAAGAGACAGGTAAATCTGTTTAGAATCCCTCAGTGATCAGAATTCCACTGCAGTTACAGAATATTTCCTGCTGGATATCACTCACCTTGGGAGAAGCATGAAATTGAGTTTGTCAGCTCTATCTCGTTCTGCTTTGTACAGCTTGGTTCTCTCTTCTACTAAGTGCTCCAGGTTTTGTGAATACAACTGCAGACGTCGGATCAATGTGTCCATATAGCTCTCATTGTTTTGGCTGTGGTAGTTGCTAGGAATGTTGTAAGAACAAAAATGATATTTTTCAAGAAAAATGGCAAATAGAACTTGGTAGAAATTAATCTATAAATGTTACACAGTCAAAATGAACATCCACCAAATCTCTCCATCTGAATAATAATTATAACTTGATTGAACTGACGTGCTAAGGAAGATTTTAGAAGTTGTAGCTAAGTCTTAAAAGAAAAAGAAGTAAGAATATTACTATTTGAAGTTTTAAAGTGCTACATTAGATATGTTAAGATATATTACAAATCTATCTATCTATCTAGATATAGATATACAGTATATAGATATAGATAGATATATATAGACATCTGTGTGTGTGTATGAATATGTGTATGGAGAATGAGAGAGAGAGAGAGAGAGTAGTCAGGGATATATGTATGGAATAGTCAGGGTAGAACAGCCTATATGATCCAACAGGATTCTTCATCATTAACTTTTACAGTAATTATCCATGTTATTTTATTTGTTTTCTCTTCTTCTTTATTCACATTTACATGTTCTTTTCTCATACATGGACACTTTTTGTCAAATGATGGGGTCTCATTTACCTTTTTCCATGTCCTGCACATTTTGACACAGAAATACATAAAGCCTTGCTTTAATGTTTATTAGTTTCTTACCTAAATATCCTACCTAGAGTAGTTTCAATTTTCTTAAAATCTGGTCTCTTCTCTGGATCTTCTTCCCAGCAGCTTTTCACTAGAAAATATATCTAGCAATGCACAATCCAAACCAGGGTTGGTTAATATATTTTGGGTTCCATGGTAAGATACCAAAATAGCATTTCTCCTTCACATAAACTTAACTCATTTCCCACCCAATTCCCACCTTCATGTCACAATAGAATTGCATCAAACATTAACCAGAACTTCAAATTCCATCTAAGTTTCTCTGTAAAGCTCAATAAGATTAATTAGGTACGTAGGTAGTTTTAACACATCCTGCCTTTCCCCCAAGAGCTTAAGATAGCATATGATGCATTCCTTCCAATTTTTCCCTATAACCACAATTCTGTGAGCTTACTTGGGCTGAGAGAAAATGACTGGCCTAAAGTCACACTGTGAGTTTCCATAGTTGAGGCTGGACTTGAACCTTCCCCAGCATTAGAGCCTTTTCCAGAGAGCTGGGTCTTTGCATAATGTGCCCTAAGTAGGACAATTTGAGCCTGGTCATTTGAGCCTCAAGTGAGCACTCTCGGTAGATTTGTTCAGTGATCCATCCCTTTGTTTTCTTGGCTGTCCACAATATTCTCAGGAGTCTCCTCCAACACCAAAGTTCAAAGGCATCAATACTCTTCCTATCCTGCTTCTTTAAAATCCAACCTTCACTTCCATAGAGTGTCACAGGGAATACCATGGCTTGCACGATTCTGGTCTTTGTAGATTTGTACATCACAGCATTTGAATATTTTTTCCAAGGCCTTCATGACTGCTCTAGCAAGTGCTGGTCTACGCCGTATTTCTTGACTGCTTGTTCCTTTACTGTTGATGATTGATCCTAAAAAGCAGAAGCTATCCACCACTTTGGTATCTTCATTGTCAATTCTAAGGCTGGTGTTCTACCTGTTGTCATTAGTTTGGTCTTCTTTATATTTAATTTTAATCCCATTTTTTCACTATATTCCTTGACTTTTATTACTAGAGCTTGCAGGTACTTTGCATTTTTGGCTATCAGGGTAATATCATTAGCATACTGCAGATTATTGATGTTTCTTCCTCTAATTTTAAATCCATGCTAATTTCCTTCCAATCCAGCTTCCCTTACTATATATTCAGCATATAGGTTGATGGAACCAATATTTTCTTCATATTCTGTCCATACTGTGGCTTCCTGACCTGTATATAAGTTTCTCATGAGGCCAATGAGATGTTCTGGGATTCCCATTTTTCTGAGCACTTTTCACAGCTTGACATGATTGACACAATCAAAGGTCCTTCTGTAGCTGATGAAGCACATGCTAACTTCTTTTTTGGTATTTTGGCTTTCTCAGTTATCCAGTGTGCATCAGTAATAATGTCTCATGTTCTTTGGCCTTTTCTAAAGCCAGCTTGAACATCTGGCATCTCTTTTTTCCTTGAAGGGCTTTAATCTACATCGGATGATCCTAAGCATTATTTGGTAGCATATGAAATTAAAGATATTGTATGATAGTTTGCAGGCTCTGTTAAGTCTCCTTTTTTTTTTTTTGGTTTGGTATTGGAATGTAGATTGACCTCTTCCAATTGGTTAGCCACCTCTCTCACAGTGTTTAGGAAAATGGCAAAAACACATCTTTTCTGCCAAGCTTTTATGTTAATTGGTTTTAATGATACTGATTTTATTCTTGTATTTTGTTTCATTGTTAATTGTTAATTGTTAATTTTCCTGTTTATAAATCCACTTTATGTTCCTTAAGTGTGCAGATAAAGTGGATATATAAACAGAAAAATTGTGTAAAATTGAATGAATGAATACGGCTACCAGTTATGAGCTGCAAAAATAGAAAAAGCCACTTGTCTAGTGGTCTTCCAGATTTTGTAGCCCAGTTCTGGTAGCATAACTTCCCCATTGTTCTTATGTCCCCAAAGCAATTGTTACCAGGCCTTTTTCTCTCAGTGAAGCACCAAGACTAGAAATAATTTCTGTTGGAAGAAAAATGGCTAGAAAAATATAGAGGGGTTGCTTTCATATTTGTTTAGATGTGTAAAACATCCTTTAGCTGCCCTCTTCTGCACTTGAATTCAGCTGCTATGTAGGAATTTGGCACAGCCCACATTCTAATAGTGGTAATTAAGTATGAGAGGAATTACAGTTGGAGGAAAGTTAATTACATTTTGCAGGTCTCCACTGAAGTTGTTAATAGAACCCCATTACATGGTAAAATCAAAAAACACTGGAACCACAATGCGGCTGACACTTCTGTCTGTCAAATCTTCTAATTTCAGCTCATGTGCATATGATACCTCTCTCTAGCAAGAACACTTTTGTTTCAGTTAAAACGTACTTCTTGCTCTCGCTCCCCCTCTGTCTCCAATAAAAGATCTGGCCGGAATGGTCGTGCTCCTTTGCTGCTTTCTACTCTATAAAGTTTTTCTGGAGTGGGAGAGAAAATGTGCAACATAAAAAAACTAAGCACACAAAGACAATGGATATGCTTGCCCCATCCTGGGGAAACTCCCATAAATCTCTTGCTCTTTGGGAATAATGGGATTTGGAATCTAATACATTTGGAGGGTACAAAGAAGTCAGAGCATGAGAACAGAGCTGCTGTAGTAAATAGAAACTGTCAAGGCAATCTTTTATAAACAGATATAGGCTCAAACCTAGCCTTGAATGAACATGTTCATTCTTTGATAAAGATCTGTAGACTGTGATTTTTTTATTTGTGAGGCATGTCAGAATAGAATGCCTGTTAGGGTAAACCAAAGAATCAAGATATTATTACTACATATATATAGTAGTAGGGAAGCAGCATGATGCTGGCATTAAAGCAACTCTTTCCTGATCTCCAGATCCATTGAAGTAAAAGCTAAGAGGCTGAGGGACCAGATTTCCTGTAACATGTTATTTGACATTTAAAATAGTATGCCTTGGCTTAGAGAAGCAAGTCTCACCTCTAGTGAATTATTTTAGAATCAGAAGTTCTCATTTTTGGGGGGGTAAGAGGATAAATATAGTAAAATAAAAGCCTTTTAAGTGATGATGCAGCAGTTTCACATCATACCTTGTTTTTTTATTTGCTATCCTGAACGTATATTTGCTATTCTGTGCTCTCAGCAAGCGAGATATAAATATACTGTAGGTATTATCTTGAAAACTTATTCCCTCTTTCATTCTTCACTCACATCTTCTCCAGTTCTTACAAGCTGATTAAACATGTCAGTGACCTGATAAGATCTTTCAATGGTCATTCTCTTAACTTATCTTACTTAAAATTGTAAGGAGACAGAGTAGTGGGGAGCACTCAGGCTACAGAACACATCCCCAGGAAACACCATATTGGGAATATCTGCTACCGCCTTGGGTACAGTAACCTGATGCTCTTATCAAAATACTTTTGAACTACTGCAATACACTATGTGGGGCTACTTCTGAAGATGACTTAGAAGTTAGAACTGGTACAGGATGCAGCAGCCAGGCTGCTAGCAGGGAAACCTGCTATTGCAGAATAATGCATTCATCACCTATTGATGACTATTGGACAACTATATTTTAGTTATTTTTTAAATTATGGCTTTATGCATGTGGTATGCTTACTTTTGTGAGATGTTTTTATGTTTATGTTGTAGGTTGCTCAGAGTTGTTTGCGTGGGCAGCATTTTTTGTAAACAATAAAATAAATATTATCAAAATAATACATCTTAATGTGGATGTGCTATGCGTGTGTGTGTGTGTGTGTGTGTGTGTTTCCAATCTTACATCTCCGTTAGCCAATTAAAACCTGATTATATGCTGCTTTACTGCAAATGACTACAAAAGTTTTCAGCAGTTGTCAGACCAGTTCCAGACACAGACTACAAATCCATTGTATCTGAATCCTTTAAAAAAAGGGCTGCAGTTTTAAAAAGCTAACTAGAAAGAAGAATATAGATTTTTAAAAACCTAATACATTCTTATATTTAAAGGCCATGATAGGAATATAAAGCTACTTATGAAGATATGTGGTTTTATTTGTTTGGATTTGAGTATATGGATAGGAAGAGGGTGCATTGAGGAGGGATGAGGGTCTTAGGTCTCTCCTTACAGTTTGGTATCATATATATTTGATGTCCTAGCATTCCTACTTTCACAAATGCTTACATCTTCATGAAACCTGGAACAAATGCATAAAGAATGGCAATATGTCATTGAGTCAGCACCAATCAAAGTGATGCCAAGCATTATACCTTATTATGAACTGGCTCCAAACATTATATAATACTTGCAAGCAGTAGCAACATATATTATGTAAAAGCCGTAAGCCATGTGCTACAGAGAATTCTCTAGAGAGATATTTGTGTTTGGTTTTATTTTTATCTTCCTTTTCACTTCTTTTTTGTTCGTCTCTTGTTATTCAGCTATACTTTCATCCCCTATATTCTCATGTAAGTTATGTTGCGTTTGTAAACTATGCAACATAAATAAATGGGATGAAATGGGAGGTGAGTATGGAGGAAATGTTCTGTATTAAAATAAAGTTTTGGTACTTACAAACGTACTTTTAAAACTTAAAAAAAAATTATACTCACAAAACATTAAACACTTTGTTATTAAATATCAGCTTTCCCCAGCCAGGTTTCCTTCAAAAATACTGGATTTCAACAGAGTCAAGGTCAGTGTAAATTAAAAACACTGGGTCTTTCTTGTTATGAATATTAAATTACTCTGCGCTAGGGCTTGGGTTGTGTTTGGGCAAGATGCAGCGATTGGGCTCTATCCCCTTTGTAGTGTTACCTATTTCCCATGCTTTTGGAGGCCCATCCACACCAGTTGACCAGAAGGACAACACAAAGAAAGTGGGTATTTCTGCCCTTTGTGTTTTCTTCTGTCACTCTCAGCACACTTAGAGAAGGCATGAGAGCAGCTAGCAATACAGAAGAAGAGAACTGGAAGGGAAAGATTTACAACAGAAAGCTTTCTGCTCGAATACGGACAATAACACATGCCCAATGATACTGGCCAATAATATGATCCTATTATTGGGAATTTTTGGAGTAAGCTATCTCAGAAAGCTGTTAAAGGGGAGAATGTAAATCTTATCATTCAATCATTCAGCAAGAACATGTAGTTAGGACCATCTGTAACTGAACAGGAAATTATTAATTTCTTGGGAAATATTGAAATGAAAGAGATCTCCCAGGAAGAAACTAGTTCAGCCATTGCATTTCTTTGGAGTGAGAACTTTATGCTGGGCCTACTTGGAGAGCAAGTGTGTAACCCCTCTGAAATCTTGGCAAATTTTAAGGTCCAAGTATATTCAACAGGGATCTTCATTTCCAGCCTTTGAAAGCTGCCAGGCACGTTTGGCTATTCATAAGTAAGTACTTTTGATTCCAAATCACATAAGAAACTGACATTGTGAAATAACCCAAATATGAAGGTACCAGGAAAGATGTTTTACTAAATGTGTGGGCCAAACAAGTTGGCTTATATCAGTTGATTTATAATAGTTCTTCTAAAGACTGTGCTATGAATATGATTTACTTATAATTTCTGCTTGGCAATATATAAAGGTAAAACCTGTACTAACTAAACAGTATGGCCCAGATGCTTTAGCTGCCTCAGAGGTACCTGTAAGCTTAGGATCCTTAAGAGGTTCACTGCTTGAACTGAAACGAACAATCCAATGTGATATGGAAAAAAAGCCTACTGAAAATTAGTATTAGTTATATAACTGAATGATAAAATAAAGAATTGGAATATCTGATCTTGGAAACTCAAGGTTTTAAGATACATAAAACATACTTATGATTTAAGTGTAATTAATTCATCAGAAACTATTATTTTGTATTTGTTGGACTCCTCAAAGAATGTTTAAAAAGAGACAATTGATTTTTTGTGCTGGCATTGTAAGAAATTTGAAGGCTCTTTAACTGATATGGTTTGGCCTTATGCAGCTGTAGCTTTGTTTTTATTTCAAATCATAGCAAGTGTTAAGAACATTTTGGAAAAAATATAACAGCTAAAGACATAAATGTGATGTTGAACATTGTTGCTAAAACATAGAATTTGTCATTTCATGAAGTTTTGACTGAGCATAGGGCATGGCAAAGAAGATAATCTTATGCAAAAGGAAATAAACTTATCTTCCTGATATTAAGGAATTGTTTCAAGGATATGATTATGTTATCTATTTTTGAAAAGTCTTTATGTACTAAAAATGAGATAATGAAGCAATATATTTCTATATGGTCTCAATTTAATTATAAGCTTAAGGATTAAATTAATTAAATATTGATACTAAATGAGCATTATATGGATCTATTTTTCTTTTTAAATTCTTTTTGCTTTTTTATTACATTTTGGTTAATTTAATTACTATAACATTTATTCTGTCTGTATAACTTGTATGTGTGTGTGTTATACTTTTTTCTATTGGTGGTAATCAGTAGTTCACTATTAAAAATCAATTTTAAAAAATTGTATTAAAGTATAAACATGTAGTCACCCCTTTCATTATGTACTATGTTTACCTTTAGAATCCCGACAATGGTTAGTGTAGAAGGTCTCTTTACGCAGAATAATTTCTTGTGCTATAATTCCATAGCTATATACATCACCTTTCTGAGATACATCACCACAACGGAGGTGTTCAGGAGCAGTCCAGAGATCTGATTTACAGAAGGGAATCATGTTTATAGATGTGAGTGGAAAGACAGGGATCTGAGATCTTTTCACAGAATTTAATATATTCCCATATTGGTTTGGATTCCATTAATTCTATGGATTGTTTCATCATGATCAAAAAATATATTTTAAAACTTTTTGTGGAGTATAAAGCTATCAGTGGATAGTCATCATGATAGCCAATATCAGAGATAGTTTCTATCATTAGAGGCTGTTGTCTATTGTTAGGGATTGTTGTTGCACTTGTGTCCTGCTTATAGGTTTCCCAAGACATTTGGTTAGTCACTGTGAGAACTGAAAATTAAACAATAGAAGTCTTTGATGAAATCTAGCAAGACTATTCTTAACATTCTGAAAATGGATCGAGTACAAAGAAATTTATTTATCTATTTGTTTATTCATATATATTTAATCCATTTAATAATTTAATTTATTTATTTGATTTATACTCTGCCTTTCTGCTCAAACAAGCACTCAAGGTGGCTAACAAAATTTTAAAACATGATACAAAAGATTAATAATGTCTAGCGCCTATTGAAATCATTCCATTATTAAAGCCTGTGAAACAGAAGAATCTTTACAGATTTTCTACACGCTGAGCATGTGAAGGCCAAATTCAATTCCCAAGGGTGTGTGTTCCATACCTAGGAGCTGGTACTCATCAGTTGATGTTAAGACCATCTTTAACCTATTGTGTTTATTCATTTTCTTTGCTGGAATATCATTCTTGGTCAGATGGGTCTAGCAGAGGTTAAAGATCTTTCAGGGGCTTAAAATAGTTTAAGAAACAAAGTTGGGCTGCTTTCCATGGAGCTACACTGAACCTGCTCTAAGGGAGAGGAGACCTGTTGAAATCTGGCTGCCAGACAAAAGCACTCTAACTGCCTGGTATTTGTGGCAGAGTCCCTTGTTGTTCTTGAGGTAAAGTAGCAACACTGAGAGGAAAGGAGTCATGATTTTTATAATATCTTATTTATGAAACACAAAAAGGTGATCAAGATCAGCTTAAGGACACAGGTATGTAATTAAGAAGTAGACCCTCAAGTTTCCTGTTATATTAGTGAGCTCATATAGGATGCAATGAAAAGAAAGGTAGGGGATGGGATGTTTCAACAAATATTTTGCTTCTGCTGCCTCAGAGTCTAAAAAAAAGGCCTGGTAAAACCTGATTTAATCATGTATAACCATTAAAGACACACACTACTTGGCTGGTGTGGGTCTTCCGGGCTGTGTGGCCGTGTTCTTGAAGTTTTGTTTCCTAACGTTTC